AAAATTACTTTTTTTCAATTTAATTTTTCACTTATTCTTGTCCATAAATGTATTAAAAATTGCTAATATACAAATGCAAAATTCGCGTTTCTTTTGTATTTTCATATATGTTCTAGAAATCTTTGATTTTTTAAAACACTCTTAACTAAAGAGTATTTTTGAATATATTTTATAGAAACTTTCTTGATCAATTTAACCTCACCAATAACGTTATATAACTTTGATTCTAATTTTTTCGGATACCCTGTAAATTAAATAAAATTGTATCTTTTTACAAGTCGACTTACGTCTTTTACGAACACCTTCTCACACTAATCAATACTATTACATCAAAAGGAGTCGTAAAATCGTTTTATACCCAGCCTTTCTGAAGTAATCAGTACACGATTTTTATTTTTTTTTTCTTCAGACGGGTTGACCCATTCCCATGTTATTAACTGTTTTTACATTGCTTGACTTTAATAATCGTGCCAAGAATTATTAATTAAATATAACTAGACCGTTGACTAAAAAAATATTATGTATATATATATTTTAGATGGTTACATAATTTTTGTCGTATTTGAAATTAATTTAAATTACTAGATCTTTAAAAGTTATTTATTTAATTAATGATATATTGACCCTTATTGTTAACATAATTTATTTTGTGTCTTTTTTTACTGTGTCAGAAATAAGTACAACAGAAATTATGCAACGACTTAATATAAATTTTTACAATTAAAATTTTTCTAAAATCTAGTGTGGTAAAAAGCAATAACATTTAAATACAAGATTTTATTTTAAAATTCAAGATAAATTATTTGACTAATATTATATTTATTGTTACATAATGATTTATTTAATTGTAATTTTACCTGTATGCTTGGTCCTGGCATTTGTCGATTCGCTGTTATTATTATTCGCCTTTGTCCATCAGCTGATACACAATTATGAGCCATGCAAACTGTCTCGTTCGATAAACAATTTTCACATTATCTGAAAATTAATATAGTACGTTTATGAAAGCGATATTTCAAGAATTTCTTAATACTCAGAATATATGCTCTTAAATTTTTAATACACATGCTGTTAAAATTTGAAGATGTCTCATCAAATTAGACCTGAGATACTTGTAATTAAAAATGATATATTGTACATGTAGCATTGGGGAAGCGTGGGAATCTGATCAATTAAATTTTATTTATCAATGAATTACCTTCACCATTTCTATGAAAAACTATTATTACTTAGAATACTTTATGTAGGTAATATAAAAAAAAATTAGGAATTATTTACCACGTAGTTTCGATAAAAAATTAAAATAAATAACTCGTTTTAGCGATTATTTTCTGTGAAGGGGATATGATGACTAGTGGCATGGAAACGATGTGGCAACGTTGTCACAAGTAAAATGTTGGAGCAAATAGAAACACCGCAAATTTTTAAATCAATTTAATATTTTTAAGGAGAACCACCAGTGATCCCAGAGACTTTAGTTCGTTTGTTCGACACAGGGGCGCAAAATTATCGTACGCGGCAGAAAATTATCGTACGCCCCGGGAAAATTTGACATCCGACAAATCTCGGACAAAATTTTGAAAAAGTCGGAAAAAGTGTCCAAGTTCCAACTTTTTAAAGTTGATGACCTTTTATTTTTTTTAGGTAGAAAAAGTTCAGTAATCGTTTAGTCCAATCGGCGGTTCGATAGCTGCAGGGGAAGCTCTTCAAGTCGAGAAAAAAAATTTTGAAGACTTTTTTTTTCTTTTTTTTTTTTTACTCATCAAGTTCCCAAACCCTATCATGAAAACGATAAAAACGATCGTTCGCCGGGACATCGTGGTGGTGGTGGTGGTAGTGATGGTGGGAGTGTTGATGGGAGTGAGGATTTGGGTGGGGGTGCACCTTTGAAAAATTTTTTGACTAAAAAAAAAGAAAAGGTCATCAAGTTTTCGAAATTCCAAATGGATCGTATGCCACGATTTTTAGATTGTACAGGACCTCAAATTATTGTACGCGTACGATAATTATCGTACGAATGGGATCGCTGAGAACCACTCTCAACTTTTATTTAATAACAATAATTGATAATTATTAACTTGAAAGAATAAATTTGATAGCGTAATTCTTTTATTTAGTATCAATTATAAAATTTAATGCATAAAATATATTGAAAGATACAACATGACAAAATATTTTAAAACCAAATTTTTATGATAATAAATTTTTAATTATTGCAATATTTTATATTCATAAACTTTTCTTTGATTTCATAAAAACATATATATTTATCAGAATATATATCACACTTTTTGTGTGAAAAATGAACATAGCTTATCTAAAACTCGTTTATCTTCGGTAATATTCGGTTTATTATCATTTCCTGGCTCTTTACAATATTTAATTAATTCTTTTATTCCACCATTGTCATATTTATTAATTAAATCTTGGTATTTTATTGCTTGAGACGCCATTTTCCTTAATAAATGGCATATGCCAATATTTTGTTTAATCCGGAGCAGCCATAGCCAGCGTGTACACCGCCTGTAATAAATATATTTATATTAGTATTAGAACTTTTACATATACATTCAACTATTATTGTTTTTAAGTAAATTCAAGTTATCAATTTTTTTCAATATTATTAAAAAATAAATATTTATGTAACTTAGCAAGAACTACGTCTGTATTAATGTCTGAATGATTAGATTTATTATCAGCTGTATGATGAGTTTTTTCCGTTGGAATTAGTGATATTGTATCACATTTAGTGCATTTAACTTTTAAGATTGAATTCAGCCCTAAATGTTCGTGTACAATATTATCAAGGCAAAGTACTTAAAAACATTTTACTTATTTTACTTTTTTGCTTAAAAATTTTAAATCCACCATACGAAAGCCTTCGTCATGGGTTAGGTTCACTGCTATTTGTTGAAAAATCGTTGCCTTTTCTTTTTTCTTGTAAGGCATATTTTATTATAATTTTTTTATTATGTACTTGTTTTTTTAAAAATTCAATTTAAAATAATTGAAGTGATAATTGTTGCGTGTTGCTTCTTTCGACCCTTTCTTGAAATTATAATAGATGTTTTCTCTGGCAACTTAATTATATCATGCAAATTAGGACAAATTTTTTTTATAGTGCTCGGAACTGGTGAGTGAACTTCTTTTGATGTGCTGGGAATCGTGCTGCGAGAGATTCATTGCAGTCTTGGATTGAAATAGTCTCAGATTGGAGAATTTCTGCAGCGGTGAAATCTTCTTCTGTGAATACTTCCGGATTTAGTGGAACTATTCCACTAGCTCTAAACCCCGATTCTCCTTTAATAATAGACGCAACATTATTAAATGCTTTCCTCACCAAGGATGCTACGTCATAGGGGGTTATCTTTTCTGCAAGACTGCTTTTCAAAAATAAGTCACATTCTTTTTTATATGCCATTTTGAGCGGACCAAAAAAAGAAACATCCAGGGGTTGCATTCTATGTGACGTGTGTGGTGGCAGAGACAACATATGGATGTGATTGGACTTGCAATATTCGTAGAYGGAAAGAGAAATGTGACTAGCATGGTTGTCTAGTATTAAAAGAATGGGTTCATCTGCCGACGGCTTAGTGTGCTGTTTAAAGTGCCGCAACCATTCAAGAAAGAGATGCTYATTAATCCAACCGTTTTCTGAGCATTTGTAAAGCGCTCCTGTTGGACCATCCTTCTCGAGCAGAGRAGTCAACCTTTTCCTAGGGAAAATAAACATMGGTGRAATGTAACCGCCTGCAGCGCTYATAGCACACAACAAAGTGATGTTTTTTCCTTTCTCCCAACTGGTTATAGATCCTACTYTCTTCTGTCCTTTGGTAGYAAGAATTTTTCCAGGTGTTTGAACTGTTAAAATACCTGTTTCGTCGCAATTATAAATATTTTTTGRAACAAATCTATGCTTTTCTATCAGCTGGCCAAGTAGCTCAAAGAATAGACTTATTTCGGTTTTATTAAAAGCTCTTATTCTGTTTATGCTGGTCGCCTCCGGTTTCCTAATAGAAATGTTATGTCTAGTCATAAATGCATGCAACCAATCRCGTCCAGCCATTTTTAAAKMCTGATTAAAATTGTGCTTTAAATTYAATTTTTCAGCATATTCAAATGCTACTYTTCTAATTTGATTAGCAGTGCAACCATAAAAAATATTTGCCATATTCTTCACCAAGTTTGCTAGCTCGGCTTCTGTCTCAGCACTAAAGACAGTGAATCSTCCTAGATGTGGTTCTAAGKTAGAACCWTTTTTTAWCCTCTTTTGAAGGCTTGAAAAAGGGATCCCCACTACCTTAGCAGCATTTCTTATAGAAGAACCTCCTTCAACAAGYTTTATAGCTTTTTYTAAGCTATCAGAAGACCAGGAAGCCTTTTCGGTTGTCCTGACTCGTACTTTCGGYATCTAGATGTAGCAATTGTAAACGAAATGAAGTATGCCGAGTTATGTAATAATGTAGTAAATATAACCTTAAAGAATTATTATGAGAAAACGTGTAGCTAGAGCGATTTTWTTTCGTGAACTGTGAATAGTARGTACGTTTATTGATTTTTTATCATTTAATTTTAAGAAAAAGTATGTGAATAACAAAACAATTATTGGTAAAATAACCTATACTTGCGGGTAATGGGAGTCACCTGACTCTCATTTCCCACAATTACACTAATGAGAAAAAGAATAAAATAAAAAAAATCTTTAAAACACTGAYATAATCTGAACTGCACATCACAATTTCGAACGTCTAACTAGGATCGTGTAAAAGTCTWAATCGTATACTGCAAGATAGTCGACACTTACCTTCTAATTTGTATTGATGTAAAATTATATCAACAGAGCACAAAAACAAAAAACGGGCCTATCTCAATAGCGCGGGCGCTAACTGACGCGAGCCGTTCCAGGAAGCGCTGGCAGACAAAMAGTAGGGTAAGGACGCCGCTTACACGTCACTCGCACGTACTGATTCGTAGATGCGAGGGTGACTCCCATTACCCACTGACTCCCATTACCCTACTCTCCCCTACTTAAAAATTTGCTAGTTATGGTGATGTGTAATAATTATCAGAGGTTAGTCAGCTTTGGTCTAAAAGTGGATCTAGCAACGACATAAAAATTTAGGAAGTAACCGGCAGATCTTTATATTTGACAGTTATTACTGTGCTTTTTTCTGTGTATATAATAAATGAAAACAGATAACTACTTAAGGATTTCCACAACAAAAATAATTTTATTCCAAACCTCGATCTCTTTAGTGGTACATACTGGACGCAACCTAATCGACTTTTATAAAGCATTAGACTTTCATCAATCGTTATATCTCGTTCTGGTATATATAAACTAGAACATTTATTATGTTTTATTACATAGATAAGCCAAATTTTATAAAGTTTAGGGTTAGGATGAGTATTTCAGTCAAATGTTTCATTATTACAAAAAATGTAAATTTCTTTTTACTTTTTGATATCCTCATAGACTCATCAATTTTGAAAAAAAACAGAAATACAAAATATTTCGTTAGTCGACCAATACATTTTTTTCTGGTTTTATATTTTTTTTTTATAAGGCGCGATAAATAATCCGTTATAAAAATTAATAAATAATAAATAACCACTGTATAAATTATACTTCTGTATCGAGTGCTGGTAGTACTCTCTTTTTTCTCTTATGTGTGAATTACGTTCTGTAGTTATGGGATGCAAGCAGTTAGTGTATAGCATTGTATACTAGCAAACAAATTTAGTAGGTATAACTAATGGAGAGAGAATATTCTCACCTTTTCTCCCTCTCCCTTTCTCCGTTTCCTATTTCCGCTATTTCTGTGTGAAATAATGCTGAAATTCCAAGTAACGTTAAAGGAGACTAGCAGAGACCGAAAATAATTCACTGCTTTTGGATGTGTGCAAATGTGTATAAATACTACATCTTCACAAGTGTCGTATCCGGTAGCTTTAGTTTAATTTGTCCACTACGAAACAGCATATCTTATTATTAATTGTTATTATTTAAAATATCAATTATTCTATTTGTTCTTTTCACATTTCTCATTTTTATAAGTTTATTCTTTTTTCGTTATTATTTTTCAAATTACATTATTTCAATTAATATTTATTTTAAACCGAATATAAATCGTAACAAAGTTTTCTTCCTTTAAAATTTTAGGTATTATCTTTTCATGTATTTTATATAATCTATGAATTAAATATCAGATAAATTATTTATTAAGATTATGTACAGGAAGTCGTCGAATTCTTCTATACACTTAGTCATGCTTCAGATCAAGAGAGTAAGTAAAGTTTTATTTGCTTCTGAGGATTGGAAATGTTAAGTTTGTTCTGGTTATACTGCCTACACAATGTTTTACTTACTGTAGGCGGCCCTAAAGTCGTTAACCTATAAATTTATAGTGACCTACTTCTAGTTATTTATAAGATATTTATAAGATTTAAGTGAATATACGATACTTTGAAATTGGGTGCGTAAATTTTGGAATTAAGCACTTCAGGAATAGTAAGAAGGAAATATGATGAAAAAGTGCTTGTCGAGATAACGTGTCGCGAAATACAAAAATAGGATCTATAAATTAAAACAAGTATAAAATATTCGGATAATAATATCAATTACGACATATTAGCTGTATAAAAAAAATTTCAAGTAATCCAATCTCAAAAATCAAAGACCCTCCCCTTTTACAATTCAATCGAACCTAAGATAAATAAGTTAAATATAACTATCCTTATAAATCATTAGGTTTGTAAAGTAAAATTATTAATGAAACGTTCAGACTACTTAAAGGAATGAATACAATTACAGGATTCAAAAAAATTGGTCTTCGAAAAGAATTGTAAATAGAAAGTAATTATTCATATTAAACTTTCAGAAAAACTTAAAATAGACTGAATTAGTTAATCGTTTGTAGTAGACTTTTAATAAATTATGAATAGTTTAAGTTTAGTAAATTGATCAGCGAGAACGATTTTGAGTTTTCATTGTGTTCTGTTGATCGGAACTATAATCTATTTAGAGTTATTTAGTAAAATACTGGTTCTTGTGTGAGTGCATTCATCCTATTCTAAAGTGCTAGCTATATTGCAAATATTAATCTGATATGGCTCTCTCACGTGTGAGAATCAATTACTTCATTTTCTAAGGTTTAGCTTTGTTTTTGATTTGAATTTATTCTGTTTCGTTTTTTAATAAAATGATGAAAGAAAACCTTGCGTGCAGCAGGCTTTCCCGTAGGTGGGTAGGTCATCTGTTCAATCGGTAATGAAATAAAAAAAAATACGTTTTTACCATGTAAGGTAAATATTTTAAATATTTTTTACAGTGCTTTAAAGTTAAGTAATATGGTTGAATCAAGTAGTTTCGTTTTTTTAAAGCATTTAATAAATAAATGTAAATTCTAACTAATATTATAGTTTAGTTGCGTGCAAATGAATGAGTCAGTCGAATAGACTTCATTTTATCACCTGCTTGAAATCTCAGCGGAGTTAAAATTTATGTAACGAGTTCGAATATTCGATAATGCTCTTCTAAGAAAAGATGAAAACGTTTTTAAAATGTATTGTGTATGTACTTTTTCCGATATTTAGTTAACTTTTGCTGTATCCCAAGTATTCAGCAAGTTGATTATCTTCTTATCTTTCCATGCCAAAACTAATGTGTTACGTTTTTTTTTTTTTAGATTCTATTGTTAATAGTAAATTTCGGGTTTTTCTTTCTTTGAGGAAATATCTTTTTCGGTTTGGTTTTATCGTGTCCGTAAAATGGCATTTTAGCTTTAGTTATGTGATAGCTGAAGATAAACTTAACCTAAAAGATCTCCTGAAATATCAAGTCATGCCTGTATGGCTGCATTCGTTCGCTAAGGGTTCAAATAAAAAGTTGTGGTAAGTCAAAATATATAATCGTTTATTATTGGTTCATTGAAAGTAACCCCTAACAGTTTAATATCCCTAAGTTTTTCTATGCATTAATACGGTTTTAGATCAATTAAACTAAACAAGGGTAGCGAATTAATTAGTGGCTTGGTTAAATTTAGGTGTGGAAAAAATCATAAGGTACACGGATTCTAATTATGGAAAAAGCTTGTATTTATATTAAGGGGACACGTCACCTTCGAGTGTAAAAAAAGCGGTTTTTTTGTGAATTTTTTTTACAGTCAGTTTTATTAATATCAATACAAATTTTTGATATATGTAAGTTATATATCTGAACTACACTCTTAATTTTTTGTGTGTAAAAATATTGTAAATTTTGTTGTCTGTAGCAACTTTTCTATGAGTCCAAAAAAAGGTGATTTTCGGTTGCCCTCACTGGCAAAAATTGGTTCATCAGAAACAACAAAACCGAGTGTTATCCTTTAGTAGAGATGTTGGCGCAGGGAATGAACGAAAGGAAATTTTGATTTTTTAATTTTTCTGTGAAATTTTAACTGTGTGTAAACTACTTCTGAAACTGTAGGGACTTATTCTACTTTAAACACCTAAAAAAACGCTATTTTTATGAATTTTTTTTGAGAACATTATTATTTTTATTGATGTAAAACTTGTTTGGGTTGTTAAATATACTCATTAAGTATAAAATAAAATTTTTTTTAATTGATTCAAGCACTTTTAAAGTAGAAAAATTGCACTCAAACTGGATTCTTTAAAAAGTACGTGGATGTGCGCTGTTGAAAAAATCTGAAGATCGGTCCATCTGAAACCAAAAAATACAATGGTTTTATGTTTGTTATACCAGTGGCTATATCCCGTACCTAAATTATTAATTTTTATGCAAAAATAACAAAATGGCGGACAAAAAAAAGGGAAACAAAATGTTTTTTTCGCGATTTTTTGCCAAAAAAATACAGTAAAAATTAGAATTTTGCAATAATCGAGGTACGGGATATAGCGATAGGTCTAAAGTATATGTGGTTAAAATTTAATAAGGATCGGAATAGTATCTGAGATTTTTTCAACAAGCGGTTTAAAAACGTTGTTTCAAGAAAAACGTACTCAAAGTTTTTGTTCGTAAAAAAACGTAAAAAAATGTGATTTACGCTTAATCAGCAATGCCTGGGCCGTACATTATTCCTTCCACATCTTCTATTAACTCCATTTCTTGTGACTTATCGTTTCTACATTGAATTCTCATCTCCTTAAAAGCCTCCAAAGATTGTTATTCAGCTAAGTGGACACGGTGGATATCGCGCACGCTGGCAAAACAATTCGCGTTCTTACCAATTTTCATCCCCATGACACTTATTATTTTCAATACAGGTTTATATCCTTCATTAAATATGCAAGATGCAATGTATGTTGCAATTTCAACTTTAACTTTTCCATTGAAACAATGTTTTGGCGCATTACTCCAGACGCAGCAGTTGTAACTTTCGTTGTTGTTCTGAGTATTGCCGCCGAGACATCTTTGCAGCAATTCTTCTTTTGTCAAGTCCTCGTAGATGGGTTTTAAAACCTCTTGAACGTCTTTAGAAAAAGCAGGCGGATGTTTAAAATTATTTAAAGTTTTGATAGCTTCAGTCTTGAGGTATTTGCACCTGCTGTCCGCTCCGACCGGACAATACATATGTTGTGGTCGAGCATCGGTTGAACTCTATCTTACTTTTTTTCACATATTTATGTGGGGTGTGAGAATGTGAGTGAGAACACTGAAGCATGGGTGGGCCAGAGAGTATCGGGTATAATCAAGCATAAGGCAAACAATGTAAAATAAATAGCTGAATATCGATAGCGAAAGCGTCGTACAAAGAAGTAGATTAACCCTTTGATTGCTAAAGGCGTATATATACGCTCTCACAAATCCATCAATATATTCGAAAGGCGTATAAATTCGCTCTCACAAATCCATCAATATACTCGAAAGGCGTGAATATACGTCCTCTGTATTTTTTTTCTTTCACAAAAATTTTACATGGAATTTATTGATATGTAACATAGCAACTAAATTACTTAAAAAAATTTTTTTTAAATTCATATTTTTTTATT